GGGGGCCTGTTTTATTATGCAGTGTTTAAAATGTTTTTAACGTCAACTACTATTTTTAAAATGGGGAATTCGTGGATGGGAAACAGGGACAATCTTAGGAATAGTACTTTTCTCTTTTTTGCTATTTTTTTTCTCTTTTCTGGTTTATGTACTTTTGTGCCCTTTTATCTTTTTTATATATGATCAAGGTATACAACATAAAAGTTATTGTCTAAATTGATGTAATATAATGAAACAATGGTTAAAATTGATTATAAAGAAGTGTATTAATAATATACGGTTATGACACTAAGGTTAAAAATTTGCTGGACAAAACAGTGGAAGTGGAATACAAGAAGGGGAGATGTGGGGAAGTCAAGATAAGATGTCACTGAAAAGGAGGTTTAAAAGGTGGAATTTCTGTACGCTTTTTTTTCTTTCTTTTATTATGATTGTGTGTGGTTTCTAGGTTTCTTTTTGATATATGCTTTGTATTTTCTGGAAATGATAATAAATATTATTTAAAAATAAAAAATAAAACCCGAAATCAGTCTTAAATTTAGGTGGTTTGAATAATGACAGAGTTGCCCAGCATGCTTCTGGTGACTGAAGCTTATTAAGTCCATTCTTTGAGAGAAAAATGTCAGCATTAGAGTCAGATACATCTACTTTCCAAAATATATATTACACTACAAAAGGGATTTAGGAAAGTTAAATGCTAAGTTCCTCTTCCCACACTGAATGATAAAAGACATCTGATGATATTCATGCCTGGGAATCTGTATGTCCTGAGCCAAAGGGACAATTTGCTTAGAAAATGTTTTCCCCTCAAATTATTTTTGGAATAGCCAAAGTCAGAACATTAGGTCCCTTATATTGGGAAGTAAATATGTACCTAATTTTGAGAAGTTGGAGATGGCTTTGTAAGTGGTCCATGTTTCACAAGCATACAGTAAGGTTGGTAGTACAATAGCTCTGTAAACAAGCATTTTGGTTTCCCTGCGAATGTCCCAGTCCTCTAACACTCTGCACTTCAAAAGGGAGAAAGCTGCACTCTCAGAGCTCAGGTGATGCTGGATTTTGGCATCAATGTTGACCCTTGTGGAAAGATAACTGCCTAGGTAGGAGAAGTGATCAACATTTTCCAACATTACACCATTGAGTTGGATTTGTGGCACTGCAGAGGGCTTATTTTGCACTTGTTGGTGCAGCACTTTGGTTTTTTGGATGTTGAGCGACAGACCAAGCTTTTCGTAAGCTTCTGTGAAGATATTTAGGACGGTTGGGACATCTCTTGGGAAGACAGGTGAACTAATATCAGTGTACTGGATGAAGCAAAGATCACCAGTGTTGAAGCAATGATTCTTCAACATCAGTTTCGTTGGACTGGTCATGTTGTGCGGATGCCTGATGATCGTCTTCCAAAGCAACTACTCTATTCCGAACTTAAAAATGGAAAGCATAATGCTGGTGGTCAACAAAAGAGGTTTAAAGACTCTCTCAAGGCAAATCTAAAAAAAATGTACTATAAACACTGACAACTGGGAAATACTGCTCTGCAAGCACTCCAATTGGAGAACAGCCTTTACCAAAGGTGTCATGGGCTTTGAAGACACTCAAACTCAGGACGCAAGAGAGAAACATGCTAAGAGGAAGGCACGCTTGGCAAATCCACACTGTGATCAACTCCCGCCCGGTAACCAATGTCCCCACTGTGGAAGGACGTGTGGATCCAGAATTGGCCTCCACAGTCACCTACGGACTCATTGTTAAAACCGTGTTTATGGAAGACAATCTTACTCTGCTACGAGAGATTGCCAGAGAAGACAAATGTACCTAATCTATGAGGAAAAACACACACTTTTCAATCTCCTTCACAACAGTTCAGCAGTAACTCTTCACCAAGAATGATGTGAATGATTACCATCTACTGAAAGCTTGCTGGACTTTTTCTTTTTGCCTCGGTTCAGTGAGTAAACATGACCTTAAAGGCATATCAGGATATGAGCACATGGCTAGCTTGTTCTTGCTGTCTGGATGCACGGCAGCTGGTTCAACAACCACAAATACAATTTAAGTTGAAGTAAGATTGTGGTGCAGTTGCCCAACTAAACCTTTTCAACAGCTCATGCATCCATGTTTCCTCTATTCTTCATCCCTTCCCATAGGTCAGTCAGTAGAGCATGAGACTCTTAATCTCAGGGTCATGAGCAAAAGATTTATGCATAGCAGGGGGCTGGCCATTCTATGAAAACAGTGAGAAAAGAAAAGTTGCCCCAATACACTTTAATCAAACCTAAAGGTTTTAAGCCTCCAATATACATTTAACTCTTTCAAGCCATTCCCATCACCTCCAAACATGCTGCCTGCTACTGCCTCAGTCTTCAGAGCATAAATGCTGCATACACCAGCAGGCCTTAAGAGCACATTATCCCCACCCCCCTCAAAAAAATAATCCTGGGAACAGTAGTTTGTTAAGGGTGCTGGGAATTGTTGCTCTGTGAGGGGTAAATTACAGTTCTGAGGATTCATTGGGGGTAAGCATGTATTTTTAATGTGCTTTGAATTAATGGTGTGCAATGCAGCCAAAGTCTACTAGAGTGGGGAAGGAGGAATTAAAGTGGGACATGGGTTGAAGTGTCAGACATGCACCTGATACTACTAAGCAGAGCTGCTGACTGAACTGAAAAGTGCATACTATACTTCATCATTCACCCTCAAAAATGATCCTTTTGTTCTCTTAGCATCTGCTGGAACATTATAGGAGCATGTAAATCTGAAATTGCAAATCTTAACTTCAAAGACTTTTTTGTCAGAAGCTGCTCATTAACCCTCACGACCCATATCAAACCTCTAGCCTCCTTCAGTCAATATAATAAAAGGATTTGTGCTTTCAGAAAAGTGTTAGGTATTATAGGTGGTAACCTGTTGCTTTGATAGTCAAGATTTATGCCAAAAGTGAAATACAGAAGAAACAAAGTTTCTGAGGTGATTTTGCCACAGAAGTGCCAACCTTTTATTTAAAAGTTCTGACTTGGTGACTGCTGATATTAGAGGCAGAAAGAGAAGCCAACTCTTTGCCTATGTACGTAGACAGCATTTAGCTCAAATTGGCAATAAAATATCTGGAGAAAGAAAGGCCAGTTCTAGTTTTCCAGACTAGACTTTTGAAGTCAGAAATCACTAAGCCCAACAAAAAATACAAAGCTATAAATTTGCCCTTATGGTTGCATATATGGTAGCCATTTTTATGACAAATGGCCTATGTCTTTTACCAGCTGCATGGCAGAAATTTGAAAGGCCTGTCCTCTCCATCACTGCATATCTCACCTGGGGAAAGTTGCACCTGTTGAGTTTTGACCTGTCATGGACCTGTTAGAGCCACAGAAACTGTCATAAAATGAGTTTAGAGAACAGTAAATGCATGACGTTAGGTAAGCAGGTTCCTTGGAGTTTTATAGCACATCATCATGCAGACTACAAAGTAACAGACCCTAATCTGAAATAATAATATAAGCCTAACACAGAGACAAATCAGCAAACTGTCACCATTTCCAGCAGGTAAGTTAGTAGTGTATAAAACAGATCCAAAAGCAAAAGCTCTCAGAATATTTTTTTGGGGGGAGGGGCTAACTAATTTTTTGCTTTTTAAAAAAGCAGACATCCTCTACTGTAACAGATGGAGATAAGATTGGAAATGTAATAAGACCGTGACACTACTACCAGTGCAGTACTATTCATGTCTACTTAGACGTGAGCACCACTGAGTTTGATGGGACCTACTTCCAGGTGGAACCCTTAGCTGGGAATAAATTCAATTTAGTTTAGTGGGATTAACTTCTGAGTAGGCATGTAGATGATTGCACTGTGACTGACCTAGAAAAAGACCTTGCTTCACTTCAGATTGCTGCCCCACCCTAATCTACAGTTTTTAGGCAGGAACATCTCAGCCCCCCAAAAAAATATTCTGTAAAGGTAAGAGCAGACAGCAATCCATTTTTTTCCCTACCCCTTAACAGTGTATAAGTTTTAAGCCTCATTCCCTCCTTAAATGCCTTAAAGGCATCTCTCCATCCTTTCCCTTCAATAAGCCTTTTCTTCCTCACTCTAGTGCTTCCCTTTAAGAGAAGAGGAAAACAGAATTATGGAAGTAGCATGGAGGCACTTTCCTCACTGCTCCTTCTGCTTGCCTCTTTTGATCTCATCATCACCATCTGGTGTTACTACTGATGCTACTGCGGGTACAAAGAGTGGCAATTTATTTGGGTCATGTTACTAGTGGTGGCAACCAGAATGGATCCACTAGCTCCAGTGGAGCTAATAAATAAAGGCACAACAGGGATCTGCCTCAAAAAGTCTCCCTTCTAGCCAGATCTCCACTCTAACCAGACAATTCATTTTCACCTTTAATTAATTAAAGGCTCCCAAAGGAGCCCAGGGCAAGCATTCCTAGGCGCTGATTTGGTGCTTCCACATCAGGGTCTGGGGCAAGACAGTCAGCCTTCCTTGCCAATGACCCCTTTGGATCTAAGATGGCACGCATCTGGGTACCACAAAACAAAACACGAAATTATGGGCACGGCCTTGGGAGGGCTTCTGCCAAAATAAGGTGCCACCGGCATTAAGCGAGGCTAGGATACCCCCAGCCTGCAGACATCCTTGTTGAGGGAGCCAGACAGATCGTCCCTGGTGAGAAAGAGCAGTCGGGGGACGGGGGACGGGGACTTCAAGGAGCGGCCGGCGCCCCTCGTCTGATATGGAACAGGCTGCCCGGGCGGCTGCTGCGCAAGAGCGCGTTATCCAACCATTCGGAGAAAAGAGCAACATAGTCTGCATTCTGGCGGGGACGGGGCACCCGGCAGCTTCGCCAGTCTCCGCGAGGGATATTAGTGTTTCCCAGCCAGTTTAACCCAGTATTACCCAGCGACTGGATTGGGGACAACCCTGGCACGACCCGAGCGAGGCGCACGCCCCCTCTCCCTCCGGCGCGGAGATGCTTTCGCGCTCGCCCCGCCACTGACCTGAGATGCCTGCCCCGATCACGACCACATCGCACTTCTGGCTGCTCATGGTGGCCGCCTTCTCTCCGCCCGTTGGCTGGCTGGCTGTTCTTTCTGGCGGCCGCCGAGGCTCCTGGAACAATTGCCAGCCGGCGGCAGCAGCAGGAGCAACAGCGCTAGCTCGGCGCCGCCCCTTCGTTCGGCCTGGAGGGGAGCCCCGCCCCCTGCTTTCCTCCTGCCAAGGCGGCTGATGGAGCAGAGGCTCGCCATGGAGCTCACCCTTGGTCGACTCTCTCTGGCCAAGAAAGAGACAGCAAGAAGGCAGCAGCTTCTTGCCCCTGAGCAAGAGCCAGGGCCATTAAACAGGTGCCACCTTTATTGGCAGCAGCGGCGTAGCGTGGGTTGTCAGCACCCGGGGCAAGGCAAGTAATTTGCGCCCCCTAACCCGTGGATTTGCGCCCCCTAACCTGTGGATTTGCGCCCCCTAACCCATGGATTTGCCCTAACCCCAGATGTTGCGCCCGGTGCGGCCGGCCCCCCCTGCACCCCCCACGCTACCCCACTGATTGGCAGTGGGGACAGGTAGCAGGTAACCCCTGGGCCTGGGGGGCGGCCTGTGGCCAAGGAGGTCATGTAGGCAGGGGCAATAAGGTCATATGTGTGGGACCAGGAGGCAAGACACAAGAGCAGGGACAAGTAGTTCTGGCTTTCTTCCCATCGTTCTCTCCCTGGCAAAGGTGTGGGCTGGAAAGCACAGCAGCTGTTTAAGCGCCTAGCACCTATCTCAACTGAAAAGTGTCTCACCTTGGTTTAGGAGGGGTCCCTGCTGTCACACTTTCTAGTGCGGGTTGATGTCACAATAACCACACTCAGAAGTAAGTCCCACTAAATTCCATGGGGATGGCACTCATAGAGGACTACAGCCTGAATGTGTTAGTTGGTTGTTGTTTTTTCTAATGTTTATTTGCTTTTCTGTTTTATTGTATCATCAATACATAATATGTTACAGTCAAACACTTGGTAGTAAGAAGGAAAAAAGGAAAAAGAAAGGAGAATGACAGAATTATAATATATATATATATATATATATATATATATGCTTTCGTAGATTTTCACGGGTACAGGAATGCAGGTTTTGGTGTCCTCGGGTGTCTTCCCGTGTAAAAGTTGGGGTGTCTAGGCGACGTTTCGACGAGGTCTCACTCGTCATCTTCAGGCTGGTGCTTTCGGCTTCTTGTTACTGGAACAGAGCAGGATCTCAGTGTTTGAGTTCCTATAAATACTGTTGAGGAGGTGTGGTGTATAGCCTCCAATGTTCTGGGCAGAGAGGAAGTTCCCAGGCTAGTGTGCCTTTTCTTCTTTTGTTCCTTAATTACTTGAGGGATATCTGGAGTGATTTCTTGAGTGATATCCTGAGTACCACTTGGGTGGGTCATTAGGTGTGGATTAGTTGCTAAAGCCTTCGTGTCTTGACCTCTTGAACTTGGCTTGAACTTGGCTCTGGCTTGGCTTCGTGTATAGGGGCGAGCTGTGGTTTTGTGGCCTGTGCCAGCCAGATCTGTGTAGGGATTGCAGGGGGGTGCAGCATCCGGAGGTGCCACCATGGTTTGGCTACTGGATGGTGTCTGTAATTTATCTGTGGAGAGGGTCTGGGTTTGGGTCTGGTGTGGTTGATTGGTGATGGCGTTCTGTGTGCCTCTGGATCTGGTGTCGGTTTTTGTGGGGAGGGCTAATTTCCAGATGTCTGGCAAGCGGGATGTGTCGTCACGCTTGTTCATGTTGTGAGGGTGTTTCTCTATCTGGATGGCTTCCATGATTATTCTCTTGTGGTGATGTTCCATGTTAAAGAGCAATTTGGAATCTGCAAAATTAATTTCGTGTCCTGTTTCTTTCATGTGTTGGAAAAGAGAGGAAGTTTTTTCCTCTTTTTTGACGGCATTCTTGTGTTCTGCGATACGTGCATTTATTCGTCTGTTTGTTTGTCCAATGTACGTGGCTGGGCAGACTTTGCAGGGTATTTCATAGACCCCTTGGTTTTCCAACTGGATTCTATCCTTGGGGTTTCTGAGGATATTGGCTATTTTTTGGTTGGTGCAAAAGGCTGTTTTGATATTGTGTTTATGGAGGATTTTGCTAATTTTATCTGTAGTGCCCTTGATATAAGGAAGGAGGGCCATGCCATTGTTTTCTTCTGTGTCTTGGTTTTTGGGGGGTGTTTCTTTTTGGATTAGCTTCGTAACCCTGTTTTGCTGGTATCCATTGGCGATTAACACATTTGAGAGATTCTGTAACTCAGTTGTCAAGTGGTCTTTGTCAGCCAGGCGTTTGGTTCTGGAGATGAGAGTCTTGGCTACGGAGTTTATTTGTGCAGGGTGGTGGTGTGATTGTGCATGTAAGTAGCGGTTGGTGTGTGTTTTTTTCCGGTAGATAGTGTGTCCTAGGGAGCCATCAGGTTTTTTGTAGATTAGGACGTCAAGGAAGGGAAGTTGGTTGTTGGCTTCTATTTCCATAGTGAATTGTATTTTGGGGTGTAGGCTGTTGAGATGTGTGAGGAAGCTATCTAGTTTTTCCTTCCCGTGTGTATATATATATGTGTGTGTGTGTGTGTGTGTGTGTGTGTGTGTGTGTGTAATAATAGTAACATAACTTATTCCTCCAATTTAATGTGTTAGTTTTAAAGGTATCATGCACAGCTGTTAACAAGCCCAACCCAGATTACCAAATAAGCAGAGTAGGCACTGGCCTATGGGCCCCATTCCTTTTAGAGGCCCCACAACAATGGATCAAAATAAATACTGTTTCTTTTGTGTAGTAAATTTGGTTTATTAAAATTGTTGGTTGGTAAAATAAAAAATGTATTAGGAGATAATTTGTGAGGGCTCCCCAGAGATTTTGATTGCCTAGGGGCCTCCACAGGGTTTAATCTGGACTTTCAGACCTGTGGAAAACTATTATCACCCACCCACCCCAACTTATTTACTTCCATGGCTTATTCCACCAAGTGGGGAAACAGGACGTGCTGCCCCTGATCCATAAGCTTCCAAGGCACAATGGTCAAATTGAGTTTGCAGAGGGGAGATGCCAGTTCTAGTCAGGTACAGTGGTACCTCAGGTTAAGTACTTAATTTGTTCTGGAGGTCCGTACTTAACCTGAAACTGTTCTTAACCTGAAGCACCACTTTAGCTAATGGGGCCTCCCGCTGCTGCCACGCCGCCGGAGCACGATTTCTGTTCTCATCCTGAAGCAAAGTTCTTAACTTGAAGCACTATTTCTGGGTTAGCGGAGTCTGTAACCTGAAGCGTATGTAACCTGAAGCGTATGTAACCCAAGGTACCACTGTATTTTTAAAACATCATGGAAAGAGCATGTGGAAGGACTAGGATGGTCACATTCCCCAAAAGTCATTCCCTTCAGGTTCCATGCACAACCTCCCCACTTTAAGGGAAAGATCCAAAGGGAGAGGGGTCTTCATATGTTCAGCTGAATGCACTTAGAATCCTCACTGTGACCACGAATTGTGACTATGTGTTCTATTTCTATATAGTTTGGAAGAGTGTCTAAATAAGACTTTGATCATGTAGTGATCTGGCTTGGAAAGTGAACTTACTTCAGTGCCACCAGAAGCCTGCTTCAGTGATATTTTCATCTGGTTAGACTCAGGGGGGGAAAGAACAAAGCACCCTTCTCCTCCCTTTCCCATTCATTCCACCTGCCTGAAATGATCCTGCTCAAACAAGACTGTTTTTCAACTAGAAATCACTTCCAGATCTGTAGGGTATTAACAGGCTGCAGACCGGCATTGCTATCAGGCTGGCTTGGGTGCTTAGCAACAATCTAATCCGCAGCATCCATCCCCAGGGCTGTGGCTCACATTACATTGTCAAGATACAGATGCTCTTTTGCCAGACCCACCCATGTCTGCTGCCTGGCAGAAGAGGGAGTCGCTCCTCCTGTCAACCCAAGCAGGAGCATGCTGAGCAGGACCCAAGCAAAGCAATGGGGCAGGTATCAGGACAGGGCACTCTGCAGATGGCCGATCAGTGCCACATGCTCATTATTATGAGGAGATGAGATGAGGTTTTAGATCATGCTTGAGAATATCTTTATGTATCTTTATGGGGTGTCCATATCTTGTAAGATTTGCTGGAGTCAAGCAGACCACATTATGAGCTGTGTGCTGTTTACTCAGGTCCTCTTGGAGAAGAAAGAGAGAGCAGGGAGAAGCTTCCTTAGAGCAGCTCAGAGAGTATTTGCTCATCTAGCGCAGTATTGCCAATAATAATAATAATAATAATAATAATAATAATACTTTTTTATTATTTATACCCCGCCCATCTGTCTGGGCTTCCCCAGCCACACTGGGTGGCCTCCAACAAAATATTAAAATACAGTAATCCATCAAACATTAAAAGCTTCCCTAAACAGGGCTGCCTTCAGATGTCTTCTAAAAGTCTGGTAGTTGTTGTTCTCTTTGACATCTGGTGGGAGAGCGTTCCAAAGGGTGGGTGCCACTACTGAGAAGGCCCTCAGCCTGGTTCCCTGTAATTACTACTGTGACAAGACAATTTTGAGGAAGATATGAATGCAGGAAGTGCCTTAAATCAAATCAGACCATTGGCCCATAAGAAGTTGCTTTATACCAAGTCAGACAATGGTCCATCTGGTTCAGAATAGTCTACCCAAAGGGATCATCCATACTTCCAGTTGTCTGCTTGTCCCATGCTTTCTAGGCACGGGTCCAAGCACCTTTCTCCTGGGAAACGTGCTCTTCACCACTAAATTGGAACAAATGGAAATCTGCAGGAAACCCAAGTGCCATTTGGTCCAATTCAGTGTCAAGCTGCAGGTTTCCCCGAGGGGAAGCAGCAGGGCAAACAGAGGTGTGGGCAAGCCCCGACTGTGGTGCTCCAGAATTTCAGACAGGAGTCTTTCATAAGCCTACCCAGAGATGCCTTTTGGATGCAAAGCATGTTCTCAGTCTTTGAGCTACAGTCCACTCTGATCACCTGCTACCCAGTCCCTTTTTAACTGGAGATGCCAGAGATTGAAACTGCTTAGATTCACCCCTTTAAAAATTGACTGCAGTCTAAGCAGCTGTTTTAAGAGCTGTGGTTTACGCTCCTCAGCCTGCTAAAATAGCCATTTAATAGTGCACTCCAACTTCCCTTTCCCCCCTTAGC